ATATTTGTCCTTGTGTACTAAAAGGTGTAAGACTCAAATCCTAGAAATAAGGATCTAGTTCTTGTCCCTTGTTAGAAAGCATAAAACTCAGGAGGACAGATACAGATTCTTGTTTACCATCTCTCTATCCTGTGACACCTACATTTCTAATGGGAGGAATCCATTTCAATAAAATGGTATAGAAAATGCCCTCACCTTGGCTTCTTTGTTTCAGGGATATGAAAAATAATTCTTAAACTGAGTAAAATTTATTGCCCTACACTTCTCAGACAAGTGTGCTAACCACCAGATTGTTGTGTAAACAATCTCTAATTTGACTAATTTGACTTATGGATGACTTTTACCCAGAATTTTAGGTGACTTGAGTAAATAAGGGGAGAGATGCAGAATTCAGGTATCTGGTTTCTCTAGTCAGATTGCTTTATCACTTCAGGAAGAAACAGATGCTTCTTTGCTTCCAGGTCAGACTTCACCTAGAAAGATTCAGAAGCAAGTATTTCGTCATTCTTTTGGTTCAGAATGCATTATACAGAATATTTGAAACTTATCTTGCACTTCACTATACTGAAGAAAAAACAGTTAATGCTAGTTTTAATAATTCTTTTCTAGCAGCCACAGTCAGTACTTGTGATCAGTATAGTGTCATTTATTTCCTATGAAAGCAGTTAAATACTCATCATCTGAGCCATTTCAAATTGCATTGGCAATACAAAATACATTATAAGGAACAATCATACTCTGATGGGGATGGATTACACAGTTTATTGGGTCTATTCCATCTATAATATCCATGATGGTTTGACTTATGCTGCACGAATCTGCTACCCTATAGTAGAAATGGATTTAGAGCAAATCTTTCTCCACAGGTGGCTTTTCCCAGTAATGAATTCTGCCATTCAATTATATAATCAGAGTAATTTTGCATGTTGAAGAAAAAGACCCCTTCTTGAGTGGCACATAAATTACCACTGGATTAAATTAGTGCTACTGCCAGGGCTTTGAAATTTCTCCACTTGACAGACAGCACACTACTGGTAGCAATGATGAGAAAACATGTCATCTCAGAGATTTTTCAACTTTATTTTTCCATCTCTTCATGCTACTTTTTTCTGTTTGCTTTTATAACAATGTGTGCCTCAGGTATCTTTCAAATTATTACACCACAGAACCACCACAGGAGACTTTCAGTGCCATAAACTTCTGGGTAAAAGTGGTCATTTTTGCTGAGGAATGAGCACTTGAGTCAAATAGGAGGAAAAAATATAGAGTAAACAGGGAGAAGGGGGGGAAATGTGACACAGATAAGATACTTGCTTTACAGATGACAATAAACTTCTGCTGGATATAACTGTCAGTTTGATTTATCCTTCTACAAAGCTAGCAGAGCATTAAAGAATAAAAAAAAACTAAGAGCTCTCTGATGAATACAATGGAATATCATATTTTGAGTACACAGACAGCAGTCAGAATACTAACAAGTATTAATTTGTTATCATCAGTCTTAGTCCTGTGGTAAGACCTCAAATGAAATAAATACAAGATGTGTATGGCTTGCAGAGTCATCAGTGATGAAATCCAGTTAAAACAACAACAAAAAACCAACCAAAATGAAACAAAACCCCCACACAATAAAAGCAGATTCCTTTACTTCCTTAAGTACAGGTGAAAGGAGGAAACACAAAATTCTACAAGTAAGAATAGCTAGTTGCAAAGGAGACAAAGGCACAAGTATGAATGGACCCAGAAACCTATTTCATCATTTTCAAAAACAATTGTGAAGCATGTCTGCTTTCAGACGTTACAGGTTACCAAAGATTTAACCACGGCAGACTAGAAGGGTGTAGATCATCTGCATAAAGTTAAGAAACTTTGTAGTTTTTCCTCCAGAAAGTACCCTAAACTGTACTAGTCCTGCACTATGGTTCTACAGTTCATCAGGTGTTATAAAGTGCCAAGCACACTTTATCGTGACCCAGCCACAGCATGGTGCACCTGTAAGACCCATGTTCTCTTGTCGTCAGAAAAACACCACTACTCTATGCAGTGTATTTCAGACATTCTGTTACCTATTTCACGGTACACACTCCTAAGCTCTGACCTGAACTAAAACACAGCAAGGAAATCTTTCTTTGCGGCATTTTCATCAGGGTTTTCACTTTTAAACAATTACTAGAGAGTGGCAGCTGAGTCTTCTACACATTTGTCCATTACACAAAACTGTTATAATCTATGTACTTAACCACACAGTGGAGAAAACATCTAAAATGCTGCTCTTCTGCTCTTGGCCCCATAACATTTTACCAAGATAATTTAGTAAGTCAGAATCCGTTAAGACCCCTTGGAAATTTCTGAGTCGAATAAAGGATAATTCTTTGAGCCCAAATGTTTCTTTTAAGAACATTTTGCATAGTCTTTTTCAGAATCTAAATGATGTCCCTTGTCCCTAGAGTTAACCCATCAGGCAAGATGTCTGGGGCACTTTTGACCCTAATTCTGGGACATATTCAACAGGGAACTGCCTACGGACTGGGACATAATGCGTCACAGATCCTCTGTGACCCAAACTTTTACCTTTCAGCACACAACCCTACAAAAACTGCAGTGGCATTGTAGAAAAGCAGTCAGCTTTGAGTCATATCTTTCTATAGTAGCACCAAATACTGCACAGAAAAACTTCACAACAGAAAGCTGAGAAATACTTTAGTCAAACAGAAAATTGCTTTCTGTATTTAGGCAGACTGTCCAAGACCATTAAGGAGTAGGACAGTAAACAGAGTTACTATTCAACTATATATTAAAATGTTAGAAGATTTCTTTTTGTTGTTGAAAAGAAGAGTGATCCTGTGTGTACAATCTTTATTTCCTCACAGGCATTTGGTCCTATGTGGCATATTTTTGCCTTCTAATTTTCTTTTCTTCCAGCCAGCACCAGTCACTCGAGGATGAGCACACATTCAGTAAGTTTCTCAAATAGTTCTTTTAGATTTTGTTATTTTACACCTTGAGTGAGAGTTTGCAGTAGATTCAAGAAATCTGACATATTCACCCAGGCCTCTGAAATATTGTCTTCCATTTGTTGAAATACACAGTGGACAGCAACATTAAAGCAGTGCTTCACTTCAAGATCTCTTTTTCTAGCTAACTGCATATATATTTTATTCTAAATAAACATCTAAATGTCAAAATAGTGTGAGCACTTGCCAAATGACCCAATAAAACGCATATAAACAATGTCAAATAACTGCATACTTCTTCTGCCTATCCACTAGCTATGCCTTATTTGCTCTATTTATTTTCCTTATTGCACTAGCAACTGAAGTTCACATCTTATGTGGTATGTCTGGGCCTTTGAACAGCCTGACTCAAGGAAGGAAAATAAAATTGACAGTTTGGTGTGGAAGTATCTTCATTTAATAGGAAGTAAAGGGTTTGGAGGGAGGGCTGTTTGTGTTTTATTTGTTGTTCTTGTTGTTGGGGCTTGGGGTGTTTTTCCTTGGTTTTTTTTGTTATTTTCTTTTTAAATATTTTTTTATTTTGACACAATGTGTCAGGGAAGGGAACACGTAACAGCACTATCACATAACAGTACTACAAGCCAGCTTTTCTTACAGCAAAAATGTTTCTAGTTAATTTTGAAGTATGTCAGATGCATTAATTCAAGATTCTGTGTGACATATGATGCAAAGAAGTCTTGCACTAAATTCTGACACTCTTGGCAGAGTCTTCACATATCTTAATAAGATAAACGTAAAGACTGAATAAATCTTAAAAAAAAAAATAGGGTGAAAGTTACATGCCAGAACTAAACTAATGAAAAAATTACTAGGAAGAATTAATTTTTGCTCATGCCCTCTCAAAATTGGCATGGAATGCTACCTTTATAGACTTCAGTCTTCCTACAGCATGAAATAGCAACTATGCAGTAGAGACAATAAATATGTAGATAAAGTACAATAAATTTTAAGAGAGAGGGCGAAAGAATGAACAGCAAATAAAATACAGCACTAGCAGTTGAGGAAATAGCAAGGTAAGTAACCAAGAAAGAATACTGCTTTTACTCTGAAGACCAAGGGCTTATGAAGCCCAATTCTAGTCAAAACCCTGCCCCTTTTTCTAATGGAAGTATAATTCTGAACCTAGGCCAGGGTTTTGCTATACCACTGGCTTGGCTCACAGTTTATACTTTGTTTTCTGTGGAGCCAGAAGAAATTATTTGGGTAGGAGGGTTGCAATCAGAGTTGAGGATAGCTGGTGATTTAATGCTGGCTTGTACTAAAGTTTTATAGGGCAAAATTCTTATTGAACCTTGCTTGATTTATACTCCATTTTTGGGAGGTGGAAGTAAGTGTGAGGATCACATGCTTACTGGTTTCCACATATTGTGTTTTTCTTATTGTGGTTCCAACTTCTTTTCAAATAATATTATTTTAAATTGACTTCATACTTCACGTCATGAATTACTACTGATAGGATACTTTCCCGCTAAAAGTATTTTATATTTTAGATTACCACTAAATCTTCTAAAGAAAATAACATAGCAAAAAGAAAGTCCCAGAACTTTGGACCACAACTCCACATTCAAGTTTCAGCCACTGCATTTCTTTCATGTCTGTCTTCCAAGTACTATTGCAACAGCTCCGATATCATGGTCCTGTTTTATTCTCATTCCCACTCAGTGTAAACTAATTAACATAAATTACTAGTTTTACCATTTTTACCTATTAATGGAATGATGTCTTACTCCCCTTCACATGAATGAAATACATTGATCTCCATCATTAAACACTTGGACAAAGTCGTCTTCCCTGAACTTTATAGAATACAAAAGATGTAGCCATTCTGGATACGCTTAAGGACCCTTACTTGTTTTCAACAACACTTAGTCATGCCTCTAGTGCCAAACGTTATCTAACTTAAAAAGAGTAGCAGTTGCATGTGTGTATGCATATTGCATTTTGCTGATAGAGTAGACTCAAGAATGTTTAATATTATGTTTGCAGATTTTTACAGCTTTGCAGCCACAACTGTATGTATTTTCCATAAATACTGGGGAAAGAATGCAAAAACCTCCATATTTCAAAGAAGCAGTGCATAAAACTATGAGCAGATAGAAGTTTTGGGGTGACTTTTTTTTTTTTTTCCTTCTTAAACTGAAGTAATTGACATTTCAAATATTCTTGACACTGAATCTAATCCCTTTCTCCGTTAACTGTCTTTACCCTTAGTCTTTCATTTTGCTCGTTTAATAAAAATACTATTACACAGGGAATGTTTCTGGCTTTATATTTTGTTGTTCTTTGTAAGTTTATGAAAATTATTGACTGAAAGAAATCTCTATTCACCTATGTGTGTCTCTCTCACACACATTCCCCCCCCATTCCCTCAATTTAAAAGCTTTATTTTGCTTCCACTGAAATCAAGGATGTTATATTCATGTTTCTTTCTGTCTACTGGCTTTTAAGATACTGTCCATAAATATCTTCACTAAAATATATATGAATTTTATCTTCAATAACATGACCAAAGCAAAAGAATGGCTTGTGCCTACCTTCAAAGTATTTCTACTTTTTGAACTGAAGAGTCAAGTTTATGAACTACATGAATATGCTGTCCTATTATATCTTTGCAAATAGGAACCAGCTCATTCCAGAAAATGTATTTGTGATAGAGGCAGTGTTAATTGTGGTTTGAGCTTTGGCTATTTCCCCTCTTTGGTTTTTATTCTTTCTGTAGAAACTAAGCTTTGAATAGACAATAAATTACACAACTTTGTGCACAAACCCAGACATGTTAATTTCATTGTCACCTCATGTGAAATTGACAGCACTCACACAGAAGCAAATGTCAGAGAGGAAACATTCCTAACTCCCAAATTTCAAGTAAAGTTAGAACTGTTCATAAATCAAATCACCTGTCCTGTTCCTTTCAGGTTATTGCATGCCAAGGACAACTAATCAGCTCACTGATATCACAAAACAAAGTCATAATAAAAGGTTATTATCTGAAAACAGATCTTTCTGCTTTGCCAAGGTATTTTCTCTTCATCTTGGCAATGACTCTTAAGGAGAAAGAAGATCTCCAGTTCTCTGTGAAGATCTAGTTTCTTTAAACCCTTCCTATTAATTTCATGGCTTGCTAACTCATGTTCTGTCATCCTTTAGAACTGCATCACACACACACACACACACATCCCTGCTATGAATCATTCAAGGAAGATAATCAGGCCTTTTTCACAGAAAGACATGGAGAATCCCACCCAAAGTAGTAAGAAGTATAAGAACTATGCTTGCAAAGTTTCACAGCCTTGAATTCCATCTCAAGCACAATACTTCCAACAGGTCCCTCTAAACAGCTCAGATCTTCAGAGCCACTTGTGTTTTTACAGTCTCTCTTTGCTTTCAGTTATTGCACAATTACATTAAACCATTCTTCCTCCTTCTGAATTCCATACAGAATACTTAAAATGCTACAAGAGCAAGTAATTAAGAAGTCATTCATAGTCAGCTTCTAAACTAATAGGCAAGGAAGCAAATCTGGAATTCTTGCATGTTTTAATCCAGACTGAGAAGAGCACATTGTTATATGCCCCTCTCCAGTGGAAACAATTGTCCACACCTAGCTCTCTAATTAATGGTTTTAAGTGCATGAGAAAAGTTTGTGTTGCATGGACTTGTAGACATCTGCACTTGTTTCATTTCTGTGTGACCCTCTATGGCTTAAATTTTAGCTATGCATATGGTCCTTCTTTAATGTTTTTACTCTTGGTTTCAGAGAAAAAAAGAGCCTCAGGCTTACAGACGTATAACAAGTTAATTAATTTGAAATTGGTTGTTCTGGTGGGGGTTTTTGTGAGTGTTTGTTGGTTCTGGGTTTTTTTGTTGTTGTTGTTAGTTTTTTTGGGTTTTTTTGTTTTTTTTTTTTAATGAAGAGTATAGAAAGGCATATATTCATAAAATTAGACAGCCACATTATGTAAACAGAGCAAGCTCCCTTGCCCTCTGTGAATCTCTGTTAATCCACATACTGAGATCTGGATAACATTTGTTTAATATATAAACAATGCTAATACACATAAATTGCAATCTATTCAAATAAGTATTATACTAATTATTCTACTGACAAATGTGTTTATATACTCTGATTTCTTTAGAGTGGCATTTCTGCATATTACGAATTAGACTCAAATCTGTCTTTCAAAAATAATACTGCTGCTAAGGAAAGCATTATTTAAGAATTAAAGCAAAAAGTGGAATAAGAATGTGGTTCTTTTAAAGGGACATGAGGCAATGATACAGGTATGCTAAAGATGATAAACGCAAGATTTTGGCAAAATTTGTATCATGATTTCTCTGTTTCACATGGAAATACAAGGCAACCTTTCCTCAATCAGCAGAAAAATTCCCCATTACCTCAGTAACATAGTATCAGGTCTGTCAAAACCCACAATCCTCCTGCACTACATGGCTGTTCAAAGAATATTTCATGGCCTGTAAATCACCCTCGGCATTTGTCTGAGAAACAGCTATGTTAACAGATCTCTCCATTATCTAAACAGCAGGAGACCCCTGCAAATTCTCTCAGTGGCACGCCAGGAGTATACCTACTCTGTGGAATCAGAGAGCATTTGAAAGAGAAGCTGAGGTATGGATCACTTTAACACAGGTGGTGAAGAAAAAAGAAAAAATGGAAAATAAAAATTAAAAAAAATGAGGAAAAAACCCTGTACTTCCTTAGAAATAGAATAGCAGTTATTATTCCATAGCCTTGACACCCCAAAACTGTGGATAACCACAGCATTTAGCAGGAGAAAATACAATGCATAGAAGGAGATTTTTTTTTTTTTTCTTTTTCATCAGAGGATTTTACTGACTTGGACAGGAAAAGAAATGGTCTACTGCAGTCTACACATATTTCAACCTTTATAAATCTACAGCCACCCACAGGACTTCACTGCAGAAATTACTTCATATCAGTGTGGGCATGAACAGTCAGCAGACCAGAAAACTAGCTTACAAGTAAGTAAAATGAAGTATACCAAGCAAAAGACAGCACATCATTGTACGCCATACGGAAGTGAAAAAAAAAATGGTTCTTGTATTTATCACAACATTAAATTGCACTCAGAAGATACAGTGAGCGCCTGTATCAGTAGGCATTAGAGGTGACTTAGGCATACAAACAAGCCTTGTAAATACATTATGAAAATCACTGAAAGTTGGCATAGCCCTGATGGCTTCCAACACGCAGTAGGGAGCAATCCCCCTGGGTGTAACCACGTGGCCGACACACCATGAGCCAGCCCCTGCCCAGCCAGGGCCTGCCTTATTCCACCATCACTTCTGCCCCGCTGAAGACAGCACCACCCCACCTCCCCAGTGTCCTGTGTCAGCTGTAACATTGACCTGCTGTCTTGAAGACACATACTTCACACACTCACCTTTCCCTGGCCTAAATGTGGGTGCCTGCTGCTAGTTCTCCTCTCAGAGCAGGGCCACCTGCTGCTCTGGATCCACCCGCCCCTTCCCATCGAGCACAGAGGCCTGAGCAACTGCATAAGGAATTAAATCTTTAAAAAAGGAGGAGCTCTCTAAAGAAATTATAATGAGTAATAATTACTGGGGAAAACTTCAGGCTGAGTGATTGTTTTCTCAAGTAATGATATCCTAAAAGCTGAATCATCCCTTCTATCCACAGTTATATGGGACCCTTCATACTGAAGCCTTTTTTTAAAACATGAGGAAATAGAGTTAAAAACAAAGAACACAACAGATTTCATTAAAAAAAAAAATAAATCCCTGAGGGAAATTATTACAAAACCCCAGTCTATTAAACAAATCATTTCAAGGAGAAATCCTTTTAGAGACAGTCAAATCAAATGAAGAACTTCTTCTCTGATTCCTGACATAGATAATAGATTCTGAATTATTATTATTGTTCTTATTGAAGAAGATTGAGGTCTAAAGGGAAAATTGAGTGTCTTTTCATAAAGTGGGTAAGTATCTGTTCAAAATATTTTCTAGTTTGAAAGGAAAAATAAGGCAAACAATGCACAGAAGAAAGGAGATTTTATTATACTTATTTGCAGAGAGAGGAGTGATGCACAAAGAAGTTAAACTTCTTTCTTTAGTTGTAAAGGAAATTTATACTAAGGAACAAATAAATGGAAATCATCGGACTTAGAGTGGAAGTTTTTTTTCTCTTTATTATAAATGGCATGCTCAGAAAAAAAACTAAAACTCCCTGTCACATGCACCCCCTCAAATTGTACTGCCTGCATAGCTTTCCCTAGCTGCTGTAACAAGGTAAAATATTCAGAAAATTCTTATTTCAAATCTTCTATTATTTCTTCACTTGTATTTATTTCATTCAGCTAAACTATGGCTAAAAAAAGTCTTGTAAGTGTTTCTAGAGAACACTTCTCTAAAAATAGAGGTGTGCTTAGCTAGCTGCATGGTTTGCTCCTAAGGAAAGGAAAAATTTTCCATTCCATTTCCCAGTAATTTTAAAGGTTTTGCTTCAAAAAGATTCAGCAAAGATTTGCAGGCATAGTACGACTTGCAGACAACTGTATGTATTTCAGAGTCTTTTGAGTTTATCAGAAGGCCTTGAAAGGCAGATTAGAAGATTACTAATACCCATTTTGGCTATATGAACAAGCAAATTTATAGCAGTGTGTTCTGCTCACTGAGTTTCATTGTTAGTGGTGTATGGTGGATGTGCATCCACTAACAGAAGCTCTGTATAGATAAGCACCCCAGGTTTGGACTTATCACTAATTTACTCAAAATTTTGGTTTAAAATCAGCCTGCACCCTCAAATTAAAGAAGGCTTCGCAACATCTCTCAGTTTATATTAGGGAAAAATAATGAGCTATCTCATTCTATATTTGATAATTTTAATCACGATTCCAGACAAAGATACAAGCAAGGAAAAGTGAAGAGATTAAAAACAAAAGGCAAAACAGTGTATTGAAGTTTTTATGAAAAGCAAAAGAGTTATCTTCACTCTCAGAACATTTGAAAGACTAACCTTATCTTTATTAAACCCATATTATTAAAGAATCCTTTTGGATTTTTTTGATGTTGTACAATGCTGCAATAGAGAGAA